TGGTAATTCGAGATGGTATCAAAACGTTTTGAGACTAGTGTTGTAACATGCCAACAGATGGCAGCACAAGGCTTCACAAACAGTCACAGGGAGCACCGACCTTCATAAGTCAGTGTGCCAAAAAACATCTTCCTGTGTACATTGAGAGCTGTGTAACTAGTACTATTTTGACCACGTTCATTACCACGTCTGCTATATCATCATGGACAGCAAGTTAGAACAAAGAGCAAATGTGAAATTCTGCGTGAAACTGGGCAAATCTGCCACAGAGACATTTGACATTTTGGCAGGTTTACAGCTACGCTACAATAAGTCGTTTAAGGTGTTTTGAATGGCATGAACGCTTCAAGAGCAGAAGAACATCACTGGAAGATGATGAGAGATCAGGAAGACCTTCAACAAGCTCAACCCCCGATGTACACAGGACAATGCCTTTTGGCACACTGACTTATGAAGGTCAGTGCTCCTTGTGACTGTGCATGAAGCCTTGTGCTGCCATCTGTTGGCATGTTGCAAAACTAGTCTTATAAATATTTTAAAGGAAACACTAAAGCTGGCCATAAATTATACAATCTGATTATACAATTGCTGCGCAATCTTCTTTTGAAATCAGGCCCTTTAAAGGAGAGACTGTACAATGATAGATGGTATTGTATAATGTATGGTCAGCCTAATATAAATCATTTGAGAACATACAGTATTTTGAGGTATTCTAACAATTTGTTACGATTTTTACATTTGATGGTTTATAGTTTCATGATTGTATTTAACATGTTTAGTGGCCATATGTATATGAGGCAGTTTAGTCAGATCCTTTGTTGAGCAAATTATAAATCACTATGTATAATATGCCACATTTAGCATAGCAGCCAATAGTAGCACTGCATATGCGCTAGATCAAATGCTGCTTACCAAAGCACAGGTTGGTATTAGTTTTCTTGGTATCATAATGTAACTGCATTTACATGTGGATAGAACATCCAAGCCCACTGTCTCTTTAAAGGAAAAGTATAGTAATTTCATATTTTTTTATTATGTTCAGGACCATTGGATTTTTTACATTTTCTTTTTCTTGGGTTAAAATAAAATAATACATATAAATATTTCATATTTACTGATTGAAGATGGAAGCTGGCAAATTTAGGACATCTTTCTCATGAACCACAACTGTTGTGAAATAGAGTAGGGGAAATCAGATTACACGGACTTCTAAATCACTAATGCACCTGCTCTACTTTGTAAACCAGTCAGGACTCAACTGTTCTTGTCAGTCAGTCACAGGGTGTCTGCAAGCAAGCAGACAGGTAAAGCTGGACTGCTTATTAAGAAACTTAGCAATTTTTCTAGGAACACTTTTAAAAATCATATTAAACTTCAATATACAAACTTGTAAATTTAGAAAAGTAAAGTTCATAAAAAAGGGCTTCCCTTTAACAACTGTGGTTGCAAACATTATTGTTTTGGTCAGTGTCCTGCATAGTCATAAATTTGCACTAAAGTCAATAAATAAGAAAAATATAAGATTTGAATACTGAATAATTGGTATGTGACACAGTCAAGTGCTTAATTTTTTTTGTTGCTTCTTTTATGTTTTCATAATACCCAGAAAGGGGAAGAAGATCAGAAGTGGCAAAAGCTGAAAAAAAAAAAAACAATCTTGGCAGGTATGGCCAGAAAGTAATATAAAAATATATATTCAAATATCAAAGGAGCTGCTCTATTAAATGAGTAAATTTAGCAAAGGGAATCTTGTGCACAGAGTACATGCACATGTTGCAGACTTTCTTCTGAGCTTGACTTCCTTCACTGACAGTTCTGTGATCTGTTTTGTTGTCGCTGCCACCAAATTTCTGGGGATGGTGTCCTCTTCTTCTGGCCATTGTGTGATCACTGATAATGTAGTTATATGTGCACTGGAGTTACATCATCCCAGAACCAGGCTCCATTCCTGACATAGACCCAAAGTTTTCACTGCACTATGCTTGGATTGAAGGTAGTATACAAAAAAAAATTCTAAGAGAAATTAAAAACATGCAAGGTCTCTTTTGCCAAAAAATCTGTTCCTCCTAGCTGTTTGTAGTTTGTATATTAGTTAAACTTTAAAACAAGCAATCACTGGCCTCTGTAGCTGCATGCACTGTGGATCTATTCATTGTCAAAGTTTTTAATGGAAGCAGTAAAGTCGTTCCAGTCATGTCTCTGCAGTCTACTTCCCCTTCTTCCTATGTACTTTCCCTGCAATTACTTTTGAGATTAAAAGGCTTGCAGGCTGCCAAGTGGAAATAGCTGATATAACTGAAACTGAAAGTACTGGCTGCTGTAAAATTTGAGTATGAATTACTTCACTGTTTTTCCAGCTACAGAGGTCACTCAGATCTTATTCGAAGTGAGAGTAAACTCCCTCTGGACACTTGTAACTACAAGAAAGCTTATAATAAAGATTACCTGTAGGTACAAGGATATCTCCTAAATGTGCAACGTTTAGGAGATATTCAGTGTCCCTGCAGCCAATGATGTCACCGGCACATGCACTCTGAAGGAATAGCATACCATAGCTCTGTGCCACGGCCAAGACTCCAACGTGCATGAGCGTGAATTTGGAAGCCTGTCAGTGGTGACAGCTCACCACTGGAGGGCTTCGTTCTAAGGTAAGTCATTAATAATGTGCTAGTGTGTGATGCATACTAGTACATTATGACATTACCTTGCAGGAGACATTTTTTTTTTTATTTTTTACTTTTTTACTACTATTGTTGAAATAACCAGTGCAATTTCTTCAAGGAAAGCAGATCTACACTTTCATAGTAGAGGATAATATTAGCCTATAATGCGGAAGGAGACATGAAAATCTATAAAACTATACTTGCATTCATATAGTTTAATGTGCCTTTGTATATGATGTACATCATGTTTTATGGTTTAATGAAGGGTGTGTTTTTATATGCTATTTATTGATGATATCTAGGACACAGATTGAAAGAATACCAAAGGGTCTAGTATGGATTTTAGGGGGACCTGGTGCTGTTTTTTTTTTAAATGGAGGTCTAAGTATAGATGTTGAGTGGAATCCCTGGCTATTTTGTAAATTTCCTTTAGCACACTGTACAGCTTTGGACATGTCACGTGCAGGTTTAAGCCCCTCCCCCCAAGCATGTTATTTAAGGGAATTATATCTTTTTAAAGGGTAATTCCACTTGTGGAAAAAAATATACCAAATAAAAAATATAGCATATACAATTGCTACACAAGCCATATTGTAATATAATGTTATTAAAAGTTACCTTTCCTTTTCAATCTGCAGCCGCTGTAATTTTCTGCACAATCCAAGTGAATATGGCAATCTGGAGACCTTCTGTACACAGGAGGTGTACAAAACTTTCCCAGAAATGTAATTTCTTGATTGTGTAATTGGCTCACTGATTTTCCCAGAAGTCTGTGATAAGACACAAGTCAAATTTTTGGCATCCTCTGCCAAAACCATTTTTGGTGAGATATTTCCTAAGGGTCAATCATTGCTAAAGGGATGCTGACACTACAACTTTCCTCATTAGAACTCTGTAAATGCATCAGCTGATTAATAATGAGAAAATCCCATTTAGATTAACTCAGAACACTGACATAATGAAACAAACAGCTATTTCTTCAGAACTGAAATAGATATAAATCTGCAACAGAGTTTGTTAAATTAAAGGGGATTGTTTTTTCTCAACAAAAGTGTAGTTACGCTTTAATGTTGCCAATTAAGCTCTTTTAAAAGAGCTCATTTAAATTAAAAACCTAATAAAAGTCTTTGTGAAATAAAATGTTAACATACAGCTTTGTATGCCTATGAAAATTGTAAGAAAAAAATTTTTACAGCAGAACTGTAGCTAATCATATCTTGCCAAATTCCAGAACCTGCAATGTTTATGCTTAAGATGACAGCGACTTACCTGCTAGTATACAAAGGAAAAGGATAACAGTCCTGGAGCCTGCTTCATCCAAAAAATGTCAGCAATGAAAGCGTCCTTGTTTCTTTCCTGAGACATGACTGCTGGTGATGTCTGCACTACCCGTATTTTTCCGCTCCATAAGACGTACTTTTTTCCCCCCAAAAAAGGGGGGAAAATGTCAGTGCATCTTATGGAACGAATATGGAGCGGCTGGTCCTGTATTTCCGCTGACGCCACCATGTCAGAATACTGGGCCGGCTGCTCAGCTCTTCTCTGCAGCAGGACCTTACCTGTTCCTCGGTCCAGCGCTGTACAGTCTTCCCGCGCCGTCACCTGTAGTGTGGGCACTCGGCTGTGACAGCCGAGTGCCCACTGCGCATGCGCGACAAAGGTGGCGCTTTGTGAATGACGCAGCGTCTTCTGGGACACATGACAGGTCGCAGAAGACACCAAGCCATTCACAGTTCGCAGCGCTTCTCGTGCATGCGCAGTGGGCACCCGGCTGTCAGCCGGGTGCCCACACTAAAGGGAGGACAACTCCGCGGAAGTGGGAGCAGGTACCTGTCAAATTCAGGTGCCCGCTCCCCCTCCCACCCCAATGGTCCGCAGTCTCTTGGTCATCCCCTGTACGGTCCGCAGTCTCTTGGTCATCCCCTGTACTGTCTGCAGTCTCCGGTCATCTCCTGTACTGTCTGCAGTCTATGGTCATCTCCTGTACTGTCTGCAGTCTCTGGTCATCTCCTGTACTGTGTCCGCAGTCTCTGGTCATCCCCTGTACTATGTCCGCAGTCTCTGGTCATCTCCTGTACTGTGTCCGCAGACTCTGGTCATCCCCTGTACTGTCTGCAGTCTCTGGTCATCTCCGGTACTGTCTGCAGTCTCTGGTCATCTCCTGTACTGTCTGCAGTCTCTGGTCATCCCCTGTACTGTCTGCAGTCTCTGGTCATCCCCTGTACTGTCTGCAGTCTCTGGTCATCCCCTGGACTATGTCCGCAGTCTCTGGTCATCCCCTGTACTGTCCGCAGTCTCTGGTTATCCCCTGTACTGTCCACAGTCTCTGGTCATCTCCTGTACTATGTCTGCAGTATCTGGTCATCCCCTGTACTGTGTCCTCAGTCTCTGGTCATCTCCTGTACTATATCCGCAGTCTCTGGTCATCCCCTGTACTATGTCCGCAGTCTCTGGTCATCCCCTGTACTATGACTGCAGTCTCTGGTCATCCCCTGTACTGTGTCCGCAGTCTCTGGTCATCTCCTGTACTGTGTCCTCAGTCTCTGGTCATCTCCTGTACTGTGTCTGCAGTCCATTGGTTCAGAATAATTTTTTTCTGGTTTTTCACCTCTAAAACCTAGGTGCGTCTTATGGTCAGGTGCGTCTTATGGAGCGAAAAAAAAGGTATAGTGTCAAAAGTATTGTGATGCCTACTTTTACACACACATGAATTTTAATGGCATCCCAGCCTTAGTCCGTAGAGTTCAATATTGAGTTGGCCTACCCTTTGCAGCTATACCAGCTTCAACTCTTCTGGGAAGGCCGTCCACAAAGTTTAGGAGTGTTTATGGGAATGTTTGACCATTCTTTCAGAAGTGCATTTGTGAGGTCAGGCATTGATGTTGGACGAGAATGCTTGGCTCGCAGTCTCCACTCTAATTGATCTCAAAGGTGTTCTATCAGGTTGAGGTTAGGACTCTGTGCAGGACAGTCAAGTTCCTTTACCCCAAACTCACACATCTATGTCTTTATGGACCTTGCTTTGTGCACTGGTGTGCAGTCATGTTGGAACAGGAAGGGGCCATCCCCAAACTGTTCCCACAAAGTTGGGACCATGAAATTGTCCAAAATGTCTTGGTATGCTGCCGCCTTAAGAGTTCCCTTCACTGGAACTAAGGGGCCAAGCCCAACCCCTGAAAAGCAACCCCACACCATAATCCCCATTCCACCAAACTTTACACTTGGCACAATGCAGTCAGGCAAGTACTGTTCTCCTGGCAACCGCCAAACCCAGACACGTCCATCGGATTGCCAAACAAAGAAGCGTGATTCGTCACTCCAGATAACACGTCTCCACTGCTCTAGAGTCCAGTGGCGACATGCTTTACACCACTGCATTCGATGATTTGCATTGCACTCGGTGATGTAAGGCTTGGATGCAGCTGCTCGGCCATGGAAACCCATTCTATGAGCTCTCTATGCACTGTTGTGCTAATCTGAAGGTCACACAAAGTCTTAAGCTATTGAGTGTGCAGACAGTTGGCGACTTCTGTGAAACGTGCGCTTCAGCATGTGCTGACCCCGCTCTGTCATTTTACGTGGCATATCACTTCATGGCTGAGTTTCTGTTGTTTCCAATTGCTTCCACTTTGTTATAATACAACTAACAGTTGACTGTGGAGTATTTAGTAGCAAGGAAATTTCACGGATGGACTTATTGCAATGGTGGCAACCTATCACGATACCACATTTGAATTCACTGAGCTCCTGAGAGCAACCCATTCTTTCACAAATATTTGTAGAAGCAGTCTGCATGCTTAGGGGCTTGCTTTTATACACCTGTGGTCATGGAGGTGATTGGAACACCTAAACCCAATGATTTGGAGGAGTGTCCCAATACTTTTAGCAATATAGTGTATGTGAAAATTGGTCTTCCATATTACAGCAAAAAAATGTAAAAAGCTGGGGAGGCTCCAGTGACCAAAAAAACCCCAACAAACTAGACAAGGATCTTTATGATTTTAAAGAGGAGGAGGTCTTCTCCTGGTCTGTGCTCAGACACGCAAGGCACATGTTACCATCCACCAGCATGCCTGTGTCCCTCATGAGTATTTTGATATAGGTCACAGAAGGAAATACAAAAATCAAGAAGCTTTCCCTGCCCCAAATAGGAGATGCCCTGTCAGACACAAAAATAGTTCCAATAAAGATCTGTGGATTGTCCAATGCCTCCTCACTGAGAACTTCAGTTCCCTCCAATAGTGTGCAAAGGGCCATTTCTCCTTCTCTTATTTTCAAGAATTCCCTTATATTCCTTCTGGTTCTAGGCATTCTTTCTTACAGGAGGGAAGAAAAAGAATTAAACACAGCATAGTACCACCTCAGACACCATAAAAAATATCCTCCTATACATTTTGCCCTTGAGAAATCTCCCTATTGAAAAAAGGGTCTTAATTTTGCATAATCTCATTACTCTTAATCCATTATATACAGTAGGGATTTGAATAAGTATATACATAAATTGACACTAAAACCAGTTACCACTAAAGTACATTACACCAATCTGTTGGATAACAACTCAACACTGAGGATCTAGTGGCCTTGACATATTAGAGTAGCTGTGACCTGGTGGAACAGTCTCTGAGGGTGTATTTCCCTTGGACATTCTACAATTGATAATGCCAAATTGGTCGTCAAACAAGCCATTAAGAGAGGTGGTATTTTTGCTCTCAATAGGTCAGATTATGTTGCTGAAGCAAACAGATTACTGTCTATAGAAATACCTATCTTACATTGTCTTGTGGACTTTTAGATGAATACAAGCTGCAACTCAAACGCCTGTTGGACACAGCAAGGACCAATCAGGTTGACATAAAAGAATGGGTGTTTCTCTACAGAAACCTTTACAAACCCCTTATTTCTACATTTTGTTTAAAGTCCACAAGGACCCCATCAATCCTCCTGGTACGCCTACCATGGCCTCTATGGAGAGTCTAACAAATGGGTTGTCCCAGTATGTGGAATTTTTCATACAGCCTTTAGGATTCTTCACAACTACCAGATATTTTGGAGAACTACATGCGCGCACACTCCTACTTTTGGTTGTCCTTAAATATACAATTCCTATACACCTCCATGCCTCTGGAAATGGCTCAGGGCCTTGTGGCCCTGAGCCATTTTCTAGTTAAAGAGTCCAACTTACACCATACCCAGTCAAAGTTTGCTTTAGAGAGCCCTGAATTCTCTCTTGAGCACAACTATTTCACATTCCAAGGTGACTGTTACCTCCAAATACAGGGCACTTTCTTTGTGCCCAGCTACACCAGCTTTACGATGGGATGGTGGGATGAGTCTTGTATTTGGAAGAATAACCCTTTTACTTTCCATCCTATTTAGGAAGCTATATTGATGATATAATTATCATACAGGACAGACCCCCTGTCTAATCATTTAATCCTTTGTTCAACACTGTAATGACAAAAACATGGGCCTCCCCTTTACACTTGTGTGGGATTCCACCTCTCTAAAATTTCTAGATTTGGAGCTTAGTCACAGTGAAGGTAGAATCATTTCCAGAACTCATTTTAACCACCTCCTGCCCGCCATATAAGGAAATGATGGGCGGGCGATGGTTCACCTGTTCTGGGAGGATGTCATATGACTCCTCCTTCTCTAACTGCGCATGCTTACCCCCGGGTGCGCGCGGTGTGGCGATCGGTGGGGCGCTGTGTCCCTGGAACACAGTGGATCACTGATCAGAGTAAAGAGCAAATGACATTGGCTCTGTCATGTGATCAGCTGTGTCCAAGACTGCTGACCTGACAGTTGTGCAGAAAACCATCATTGACACCCTCCATAAGGAGGGAAAGCCTCAATAGGTAATTGCAAAAGAAGTTGGATTTTCCCAAAGTGATGTATCAAAGCACATTAATAGAAAGTTATGTGGAAGGGAAAAATGTGGAAGAAAAAAGTGCACAAGCAGCAGGGATGACCGCAGCCTGGAGAACATTGTCAGAAAAAGGCAATTCAAAAGTGTTGGGGACTTTCACAAGGAGTGGACTGAGGCTGGAGTCAGTGCATCAAGAGCCACCACACACAGACGGATCCTGGACATGGGCTTCAAATGTCGTGTGCCTCTTTTCAAGCCACTCCTGAACACTCCAACAAACAACGCAAGAAGCGTCTTACCTGGGCTAAAGAAAAACAGACCTGGTCTGTTGCTCAGTGGTCCAAAGTCCTCTTTTCTGATGAGAGCAACTTTCGCATCTCATTTGGAAACCAAGGACCCAGAGTATGGAGGTAGAATGGAGAGGCACACACTGCAAGATGCTTGAAGTCCAGTGTGACGTTTCCACAGGCTGTGTTGATTTGGGGAGCCATGTCATCTGCTGGTGTTTGTCCACTGTGCTTCAACGCAGGCGTCTACCAGGAGATTTTGGAACACTTCAAGCTTCCTCCGCAGATGAGCTTTATGGGGATGCTAACTTCATTTTCCAGCAGGACGTGGCACCTGCCCACACTGCCAAAAGCACCAAAACCTGGTTCAATGACCGTGGGATTACTGTGCTTGATTGGCCAGCAAACTCGCCTGACCTGAACCCCATAGAGAATCTATGGGGCATTGCCAAGAGAAAGATGAGAGACATGAGACCGAACAATGCAGAAGATCTGAAGGCCGCTATTGAAGCATCCTGGTCTTCCATAACACCTCAGCAGTGCCACAGGCTGATAGCTTCCATGCCAGGCCGCATTGAGGCATTAATTGCTGCAAAAGGGGCCCAAACCAAGTACTGAGTACATATGCATGCTTATACTTTTCAGAGGTCCGATATTGTTCTATGTACAATCCTTGTTTTATTGATTGCATGTAATATTCTAATTTTCTGAGATTGTGGATTTGGGGTTTTCATGAGCTGTAAGCCATAATCATCACAATTATGACAAATCACAGTTTGAATTATCTTACTTTGCATGTAATGAGTCTATCTCATGTATTAGTTTCACCTTTTAAGTTGCATTACTGAAATAAATGAACTTTTGCACAATATTCTAATTTTTCGAGTTTCACCTGTATAGAAATCACTTTACATAATTTCAACAAGCTTTCCACAGGTAGCACCTTCAAATACCCTAAAGTTCAGCAGGACCTATTCTCAATCAATTTTTCTTTGAGATAATTGCGGATTCTAGCAATGGGGCAGAGGTGTAAATCTTCAATGCATTTTACAGGCTATCCTGTCTTCTTCATCTGGAAGTCGTGAAACCATTTCAATAATGTCAAATATTAGAGAGTTGATAAGTTACACAATTTCAGTTACTCATCCATAGTCAATAAAACAGTGGTTCTTAACCTGGGTTCGATCGAACCCCAGGGGTTCAGTGAGTCAGTCTCGCGGGTTCGGCAGAGGTGAAGACCCACACCCGACTCATATGATTCGTGCAGTAAATATTCATTATTATGTTTTTGTTTTTGTGTGAAAATCATGTTTTAATGGTTTTGTTCTTTGTTCTTAACGGTTTTGTTCATTTTGTGCACCTATGTATAAATATATACCTATGTTTTGAATTTTAAAAATCATATTTTATTTTTCCAATTAAGAAGGGTTCGGTGAATGCGCATATGAAACTGGTGGGGTTCAGTACCTCCAACAA